TTTGCTGAGTTACAGTCAGAAAACACACAAAAAAATCTCCTTTTCTTTCTTAATTTGCTGCAGGATTTTTTTTTTTTTTTAATAGTTTAGAATATGCAAAGCCAGTAAAAGAAAGGTGATACTGTGTACTCCTCCAGGAAGGGTGAAGAGTAATCAAGATGCAGTTAGGGAAGGATTTTCTCCATGGGTGTTTTCCGGAGGGAGAGATCCCAAACCCCTGCAAACCCAGGGAGCACAGATGAGCAGTGTGGGGGTGATGGACAAGTCCAACTCCGTGGAGGTGACACCAGAAAATGAACAGTGTTTTCAGCCCATAACTGGTGTTTGACTGTGTTCACTGTCCTTTGGAAGGGGCTGTGGCAGTTCACCAGCCCACACTGCTCCTGTCTGAGTGTCTGAACAAGGAGGCTCCCAGGAAATCACAGGGTAATTATTGATTACAGGCCTGGGAACGTCACCTTGGAGGGAGAATGGAGGTGCTCCCAGTTCCTTTGAAGACTCTCTGCTCCTATTATGCATGAGATGTTTCATCAATATCCCCTCTTGGATGAATAACATACATCGTGCACAAGAAATTTCAGCTACTAATGGGGTTTGCAAAGCTCATCCCTCTGCTCTCCATCCTCAGGCTGCTCCTCCTGGATCTTTTTGCATAACTTTTCTCTGCCTGTGGCTTGCAAGATGACACAGATGAACATAGAACCATGGAATGGTTTTGGTTAGAAGGGACCTTAAAGACCATCATGTTCCTGCCATGGGCAGGGACAGCTTCCACTATCCCAGGTTGCTCCAAGCCACATCCAAGCTGGCTTTGGACACTTCCAGGGATGGGTCAGCCACAGCTTCTCTGGGCAAACCTATGCCAGGACCTCACCAGCTCACACAGAATTTATTCCCAATATCCCACCTAAATTGCCCCCCAGTTTAGTTTAAAACCATTAGTGCCCTAATGCCACTTCCAGAGCTGCCAAACCCTACTCCCTCACACTGACATGGGAATTCACAGCTCGTTTGTAGGAACAGGGGCACTGAGCCGGTCTGAGGGAAAGGCTCAGCTTTACTTCAGGCCTAGACCCTTCATAGAATGACCTGATGGAGGAACTCCACCCTCAGGAACACAAAAACATGGTTCAGCACAGCTGAAGTACTCATCCTTTGAGGACAGTGGCACGGCACCGCACGGCACACGAGGAGCAGAAGCCCAGGGCTGCTGCTGGTCACAGGGCAAAGGAAAGCTCTTGTGTGTCTCCAATTTCCTCTGCTCTTGCTGCTCTAATGAGCCATCTGGTCTGCAAACACACACCCGCTCCCCGGTGCCGTGGCCACGCTCCCAGCAGCCATCCCCATCGGAAACCACCAGTAAAGGAATGTCAGGGAATTCAGGACCGGCCAATTCACCACTGCCTGCCCCACGTCACCAACCCACAAATCAACCAATCCATGCACAGGCTTCAAAACAATCACAGCATCCATTGTTCTTCCTCATATAAAAAGGGAGATAATGACCAGGACACATTAAGACCAGTTAAACATTTCCCATTAGGAATCTTTGGGGTTTTTTCTGAGGTGTGCCCCTCAGAGAAGTGGGAAAACCTTGTTTAGCTTTACTTAATGAAATTCCATACTGAGCACTGGCCATGACACAGGTTGTTGAAAATTCTGGATCTTCAATTACATTAAAAAAATATATTGGATGCATAGACTAAACTGGACAACCAGTAAAGCGAGAACTCCTGGAAGTGTTGGGAAACCAAACTTCTTGCTCTCTCCAACTCCCTGACAGGAGGGTGGAGCCAGGTGGGGGTTGGGCTCTGCTCCCAGGAAACAAGGCACAGGACAAGAGGAAAAGGCCTCAAGCTGTGCCAGGGGAGCTTTAAATCAGAGATTAAGGAAAATTTCTTCATGGAAAAGTTTGTCCAGCCGTGGCACAGCTGCCCAGGGCAGTGGTGGAGTCACCATTCCTAGAAGTGTTCAAAACCTGTGTGGACAAAGGTTAGTGGTGAACATGGTGGTGGTGGGTTGATGATGGTTGGAGCACTTTTAAGTGTGTTTTCCCCTTTTAACAGCAATTTAGAAAATTAAAGGCACTTCAGAAAAAATTAAGACATAGAACGAACCACTGAAACAGCAAATATAGATTTTTTACAGATTTTTTTAATAGAGTAAATAAAAAGCAGAGTAACTCTAATTTCTGAATTTGCAGATGTCTCTGCTCTTTGCTATCTTAGAGGTGACTGTCATGACCTTTCTCTCCTCAAGAAACTATGTCCTAACAGCTAAAAAAAAAAATCAACCTAAAAGCAGCTGCAGAGAACTGACCATGAATTGAGAAATGCTTCATCACAAAACACTTCACACTATTTTTGCTAAATGAGGAACCTCTTTAGTGTGTTTGATGTGAGCAAAACCTTCCTCAAGCAAAACCGTCCTCAAGTGATGTTAGTACAGAAAAATAAAATAAAATTCAATATAAGCACTGATTAGAAAGAAATTAGTCAGTGCTGATCACAAAAGTTCTTTAGGATGGGACTCAAATCACCAAATATCAAAGAACCACACTGTAAATGGTTATATTTAGAGGGAAGGGGGGGAAAGGAGGGCCAAAGGTTTCAGTGATCATGGAATGACAGAAGCCCAGACTGGTTTGGGTTGGAAGGGACCTTAAAGCCCATCCAGTTCCAGCCCCTGCAATGGGCAGGGACCCCTTCCACTATCTCAGATTGCTCAGGGCCCTGTGAGTCACTGAAGAGCTGCTGATGAACAGAGATGTAAGAAAAGCAATGTGATGAGAAAAAGCCTTCTTGGCTTTGGATCCTCATGATCTCATTTATGTGTATTCTGCATTTTTAAGTGCCTGGAGAAATGAGTAGGCACTTTCAAATGTAAATGTGAAAAAGTAAATAAATACCAAATTCCTAATTTAGCAGAACTGCAATTCTGACATGCAGATAAACTGAAATGCAACCCATCATACTTTGATTTTTACCTTACCTTTCTCCTACTTAACTTTTAAAATTAGTTTCTACAAATTTTTGACATCTATTTCCACATTCCTTCCAATACAGTTTGGTTATTTTTTTTTCTATTTTATGAAAGCATTACTAGGAGAAAACAAGAAAAGAACAGAAATGCTCTCACATCGTTGTGATTTGAGCCAATTAATTCTCTGTTAGTGTTTCCATTACCTCCGTGCCTTCCCCCAATAAAACACACACACCTGGTCCCAGTCCAAGAACAAATAACTGAACTAAATTAGAAAAACCTGAATCTGTACATGTTAAAATGAGAAAACTGCCCTCCAGCCCCTCCCCAGGACCCAAATTGTGTCAAACCTCCTGAGGACCAGCCTGGACAGTGGGACCACCAGTCTCATCCCTCACAAAGCCACAGGTGCTGCAGAGACCTGGTGTTTATGCTCATGGCCACCACTCACATTCCACCCCAACCCTGCCACAGCTTTTGGCTGGGTTTTGTTCTTGGACAGTGATGAAGAGCTTTCCCTTCTCCTCCCAGAATTCAAGGGTGATCATTTCTTTCCCTCTAGAAGCTTCCTATTAACAAATAAACTTATTTTTTTCAGTGTTGCCTGCACAGGAAGGTTGTTGGGATGGCCCAAAGTCTCCTACAAAGTCAAGTCAAACCTCTCAGGGTTAAACCCCAAACCAGCAGCTAAAACATCAACAGCAGTGCTTAGACCAAGGAATTTCATTCACCAAGCTAAAAAGAATTCAGTAGCCCATTTAGGAAAATTAATGAAAGTAAAAGCCTTACTTTAAATGTTTTATAATCTTCTGGTGGATAATCAGGGAAGCAGAATTCCCCAGATGTTCAGAGATGGAAGGAGAAGCAGCAGTAACTATTTCCCACCCGGCTTTGCCCGTTTTCACATTCACCCCAATGCTAAAGTTTTCACAACATGGCATTTAATTTCATCCCAGCTAATAAAAAATTCCTCAGTACCATCCTGGAATTTGAAGAATTCCTCACACTGAGGAATTTTCGTACCATGGAAGAGAAAGTACAGAAGATCCTCATGAAAACAAAGGAGCTGTGCAAAGCTCATGAAAAGTGAGACTCGCTTATTCACTGGGAAAGGATGATATTCATGGGCAGACAAGAAGACACTGCAAAAGTCAGACTTCTGTAATAATTATTACTAATTTTTTTCAAAAATAATGGGATCTATTTAATTTCAAGTGATTGATTTCTGTTATGAGGTCTTGGGGAACACAGTAAATGGAGGATGGTAAGGACAATTTTTTCCTCAGGTCCTGTTTTTATCTAAATACAAAAATAGAACAACTTCTTGGTAAAAATTGTTTCTGTTAAAAAATACCAACACATTTTTTATTATAACTTTGAGGAATAAAAACACAGCTAACTTATGAAACCTATCACTGACTGCTTCTATGGCCCATGTTTATTGACATGAACGTAGAACCACAGAATCACAGAACTGTTTAGGTTGGAAAAGCCCTCTCAGACCATCAAGTCCAACCACCCACCAGCACTGCCGAGGCCACCACTAACCCATGTCCCCAGGTGCCATGTCCACACAGCTTTTAAATCCCTCCAGCGATGAGGACTCCACCCCTGCCCTGGCCAGCTGTTCTAGGACTGGACAACCTTTTCCATGAAGGAATTTTCCCTAATATTCAACCTATACCTCTCCTGGCACTACTTGAGGATGTTTCTCCTTGTCCTGTGCCTTGTTCCCTGGGAGCAGAGCCTGATCCCCACCTGGCTCCACCCTCCTGTCAGGGAGTTGGAGACAGCAATGTCAAAGCCTCAACCCCTCTTCTGCTGGTCAGAAGCTACTGTAAGTGAACAACCATGTCACTGAGGAGCTCACAACCCTTCAGATGTGTTCATATTCCAACCTTTCAGCCAGCACGTGTCGACAGCTGAACCACATCATCTTTGTGTGGTTGATGGGAGATGGGAGAGAGCACTCCTGGATGATGGGAATGGGGAAGGGATGGGTGTCCCGTGGCACTGACCTTGCTGGAGCAGTGGGTGGTGGAAGGCTGGCACGGGAAGGCTCGCTATGGTGGTTGGCTCACAGAAATAAGCTCTCAGCCAGGCTGTGCACTGTTCCAGCGGCTCTGGCATCTCCTCTGCTCCCTCATACACTTCACAGGCAGCCGAGGCCTCTGCCCTGATGGGAGAGATAGAAAAGCAAAATTAGAATAATAAAAATTGCAACCTGATCTAGTGGAAGGTGTCCCTGCTCATGGCAGGGGGTGGAATGAGACAGTCTTGAAGGTCCCTTCCAACCCAAACCATTCTGGCATTCTGTGAAAAAAATGAATGTTCACATTCTGTAAATCAGCAGAATAAAAACCTCAAAACATTTAATCTGGAGTCAGACTCCAGCTACTTTTTGTTCAGATAAAGGTGACAGAATTCCTCACAGCAGTAACAAAAATGCACACTCATCATCTCTAGAAATGCAACAACGACACAACGTTAGGTACACCTGTAAAAAAATCCATGGAAGACTGGCATGAAGAAAATGTTGTGTGTGAATAGGAAATGTCAGAGAGCAAGAAGACCACCCAAACCCACGGTGGATGACACATCCTTGTGCTTCCATGGAGGCTCCTCCTCCATGTCCCCCAGGGGCACAGTCCCTTCTCCCCAGGGACTATCCCTGGGGAAAGGAGGAAAGGAAGCAGCTTTCTGCTGCTCCTGTGCCTTCCTCTGCCCCGCTTCCTTCCAGCAACGTGGCAGGTCTCTGCTTTCCTCCCCTGATTGAATTGGAAGGAAGCAATTGAGAATTCATTTGATTTTCAATGGCAGCTCCTGCTTGCAGGGTCTGAAGAGCGAAGCGAGCAAACAGAAAGCACCTGTAAATAAAAATGTGCATCTTCCCTTGCTCCTTTTTTGCTTCTTCCCCTCTGGAAGAGCGACGTGTGTATGAGAGCGATGCAAATGTGAACACTGTGCTGTTGCACATCTCCAGCTGTGTTTCCCAAGCTGCACATTTTCAGGGATGCAGAGCAGTGCTGGGAAAGAGGTGGTGATGCTCCCCTGGTGCTTCCAAGGCTGTGATGTGGTGGGGATGTCTCCAAACTGCAGGAGTCCGGGGTACCAATAAACAAACAGCCCATCAGTAATGCGTCCCTGAGAAGTGATGGAGACAACATCAAGGGTGATGGCCAAAACAGCAATCACTGTCAGCAATCTTCTCATATCCAGAAAATTCAGCATCACTGATGAGCCATCCAAAGGCTTTCTGATTCTTGCAGCTTTTTTTCCCAGGTGGAGCCAGAAGTTCCTCAACTGCAGAGCCTTCTGAGGAGAGGCTGGATGTGTCACAAAGCAGGAGAAAGGAGAGAAAATTGCAGAAATATTGAAATACATGTGAACCTGAGACAACAGAAAAGCAGAGGAACTGTGCCACCCAGTTGTGGGGAAAGAGCAAACCACACCCAATTTCCAGCACATCGCCAGGGAGCGGAAATATTTTGTGAGACCCCTCTGAGCAAAAAGCCAAAGCAAACGAAACGACTGATGTTCCAGTAATGGTATCAAAGGCACCTGCTCTGCCTTTGCCACGAGGCACCTCTGAGAAGAGACTGAGTGTCTTCCCACTCCTGATGCACAACAGCCCATGGAGCCGGAGCGACAGGATGTCAGCGGGATCAGCGGCAGCCCCGGCGCTGCCTCCGGACAGGATAAATGATGTGCCGGTAGGAGCCGGGTCAGGGTTGCTCTCAGAAGCGAAGCCCTCACTTGCTTGGTGCCTGATCAAACGGCCCTGCCATGTCCCCCAGCCCCAACTCACTTTCTGATTAATTGTTAACCACATAATTACTGATGAGGAAGTGGCAGAGAAGGGGAGGGACACAGAGATGGACAATTAAAACACTCTGGTCACACCAGAATCCATGGTTTGGAGCAGAGGCAAAACAACACTGAAGAATCAGGTTTGGATCCAGTTTGTTAGGAATTAAGTGCAATTTTATTTCTCCTTTTCCATTTATTTATCAAATTAATGCTTTTGATTTTTCTTTTTGTGTGTGAAGTAGGACCAAATTGCTTTATAAAGCTGATGTCTAAAGCTTATGCTATTTTAATAATTAATAATCTTTCTCCTAAAAAAAAAGGTATGAGAATCCAAGAATCCAAGTATAAAATTTTTTACATAAAACCCCCCAATATGGACTCAAACCAAGCTTTCAACACAAGGGATAATCCATTATTCCACATAGATACAACACAGCAAAATATGGCTCCATTTTACCATGGACTGCTGGAGCTACGACAAAATAATGATGACAGAATATAATGATAACGCCTCTGAAACCTCCATGAGAAGTTGGGAGACTTTTCTGCTCCATTTATCCAGAAGAGCATGGAAAGCGCTCAAAACTACAGTCGCCTTATGTTTTTCACATCATCTTGTTTCACATTCTCAGGAGTCTGGAAATGATTTGGACTGTAATGTCATCATAAAACTGAACGACTCCGTCTCCTTGGAGCTCCGTGAGCAGCAGCCCCAGGAGCTGCCAGACAGGGACCAACCCAACAGGTCCAAAACAACATCATTCGCCCCCAAACCAGTTTGGGAGCAGCTCTGGGGAGACTCTGGAGGCCCTTTCCAGTGCCTAAAAGTATGCAGAGAACAGCAGAGGGACTTGGGACAAGGGCCTGGAGAGACAGGACAAGGGGGAATGGCTTCCCACTGCCAGAGGGCAGGGTTAGATGGGATATTGGGAAGGAATTCTTGGCTGTGAGGGTGGTGAGGCACTGGCACAGGTTGCCCAGAGAAGCTGGGGCTGCCCCATCCCTGGAAGTGTCCAAGGCCAGGTTGGACATGGCTTGCACAACCTGGGCTAGTGGAAGGTGCCCCTGCCCATGGCAGGATGGGCTTTAAGGTCCCTTCCAACTCAAACCATTACACACACATTCCTCACCTCTACCAGGTGTTCCCTGGTAGGGCTGTTTGGATAACATTCATTTTTTTAATTTGCCTTTTTTTTTTTTTTTTAATTACTGCTTTTAATAGCAGTGTCGTGTCACTGCTGAACATCTTCAGATGTTTTTGGTGGGACCATTCTCCTAGCAGTTCAAAAACAGACACTTTCCCAACACCTGCCACCTCTATGGCCATGTCCACCTCAGCCAAGAAAGCAAACCCTTTGCACAGTGAAAATGAATTTCCTTCCAAGAATGCACTGACTCCTTTTCCTGTAGGATACAAACTCCACTTGCGAACATACACACCAAGAGCTTCAAATTGGCAGGGAGTTAAAAAAAATAAAAACCCTTCATATTAATTTTGCTTGGCTAGAGATGGTAACAGCTATTCTTGGGAATTTGACAGCATTAATAAAGAAAAAGAACCAACACAGCTTATGCATGGGTGTCTTCTGCTGGCCCTCCTCCCACTCCTGCCCTTCCCTCCTCCCCTTTCCCATTCCAAACCTGAATAGCAGGACTCCTACAAAATGCATTAAAAATCCAACTGAAAACACCAGCTGCCTTTTAAAGGATTTTCTCAGGCTTCAAAGCCATTTTTTGATCCAACTAAACCATACATTTGTTTGAAAAGCAAAGTCAAAGTGGTCTCAAAACAGGAAAAGGGAGCAGAATAGTTACATCATGGGAAATATCCCCCCCTGTAGGAAATTCTTCTGCTCAGTATTAGACTTCTTGGAAGGTTTCTGAACGCTCCGCTCCATGCATGGATTCCTGAGCATCTCTACTGTCAAGATGGACAGGAAAAAGTTCAAAATTCGGGAAAATACCCATCTAAGAGTCATATTAACTACTTGTGCCTAAACTTTAGCAATGAAAAAAAAAAAAAGGAGCTTTTCTTAATGTCTTTGATGATCCCCAAGGAAAGGACTTGCTCTCGGTCACAGAAGCACCAGCACACAGGGTGGTGGCCAAAGTGGCCACTCATTATGTTTTACCTATGGAAAGCTCATGTCTTAAACCTTCAAAAAGATGTAATATTATACAGGAAAATAAAATCATCATATTCATCTAAAAAGAAAAAAAAAACCCTCCAATATATAAAAAATCCACCTGCTTTATTTTTTGCCCCAAAGAATATAATTTTCTTTCCTAAAGTACCAACACCTTTTTCTCAAATGGGGATAGAATGATTCCATAAATAAAGAACAGGAAGCATTTATTTAAAATGCACCAGTCTTATTTAAATCACTTCCACTTTCATCAGAGACTGTCACTGCACTTGTTTTCACTAGTGAATTGTGTTGGGTACTGCCTGACCTCTCAAAAAATTCAACCAGAAGGTTTTTGCATTTTCACCTGGTCAACAAGTATTTTATGTTATTATTTAATTTTATTGCGTTATTTGATTGCATTATTTTATATTTTTTACTTTATTTTATTTTATTTAGCACAGAATTCTTTTGTTTGCATTAATGTGGCAGCCTCTAACATGTCAGCAGTGAGTTACATGTCTGCCTTAACTTTTTGGTTAATGCAAATGAGTCAGTTAAATGGATGCTCATCTGCACAAGAGCAACTCACCTTCACAGCTTTACAGTGTGATGCTTTCATTAAAGCTCCAAACTCCTCCAACAGAAAAAAAAAAAAAAAAAAAGCTTGTTTTAAGCTACAAGAAGACATCTAAAATATATATGTATTTTTCTAAAGGTGGGTGCCTCTCACAAAGAGGCTTTTTTCCAGGCCAGGGAACCACTGCTGCTGATCAGATCTCCAGCCTGTGGTGGTGAAGTCCAAGAGTGCCGTAAGATCATTCCCGACATGGGAATCCACCAGAGCCCAGGAGCAGCCCTGCTGCTCCAGTTTTCCCACCCAACAGCTATTCCATACCATTCCTATTGCAATCCCATGTCTCTCTTTCCATTACAGCCCTTTGTAAAGCCTGAACACGCCAGGGAAGCCAGCTGGCTCCTGTGCTTGTGCAGCTGAGAGGTGTCTTCCCAAGGCTCCATCCCGGCCGTGTTTCTTCTGTGACTTCTCATGTTTGCACGGGATGAAATGAAGGAAAAGATGGTTTTAGCAGAGCGGGAGAAAAGCAGAAACACCACCTGTTTCAGTTTAATGGGCTCCTTCCAAACCACTTGCCAAGAACTGGAAGTTTCTACCGCCCTTCCAAAATAAACATGTAAGCAGCAGATTGGCTTCAGGATCATCCCAAATAGTTTAACCATG